ATCCTCGGCCCTGCCTGCTGCGGGGCCGGGACCGGGCGCAGGTCCTGCCCGGCAAGGGCTTCTGGGCTCGGGGGAAGCCCAGGAGGAGCCCTGGTACTGCCGGGTGCTGATGCAGCCCTTCAGGCCGCGTGGGGGGCACAGGAAGGGCCGAGAGGGAGCAGTGGGGCTGTGGGGGGTCTGTGCTGTGCTGGGTCTGTGCCCCGTGAAACCCCAGTGCTGGGGGTTGTGCCCTGCGGGGTCATCCCAGGAGCTCCTGCCCTGCTCCAGGCAGGTGTCAGTGAGCTGACAAGTGTGTTAGTGCTGTCTGCACTTCCCTTTCCTGGTGCTGGGCAAGTTTGGTGCTTCCTTGCTCTCATGCAAACATGCCTCTGCATTCCGAAGGTGTTAAGAGCTAAAGCTTGTGGTTGGGATTTAGCAGTAATCCTTCATGTTGTGGAATCCACTCCAAACCAGAGGAGAACTGCATGGATAGACCGACCTCTATTCAACCTTAGTAGTGCCAGTGGCATATGACAGTGATTGTTGGAGCTGAAAGATGTGCTGTGCAGGAGAGGTTTGTGTAAGTCTGGAGCTGTTTGCAATGAGGTTTTGACCTCATGGTATCAGCTCAGTCATAAATGGGGCACAGCAGTGACTCAAACCAGACTTTGCTTCCCCTTAAAGAGTTCTGTGCAAAATTACATTGGTTGCTATTTCAAGGAAACTGAGGTGAGGTTAGGCTGGTCTAGCTCTTGGGTCGATTATTTCTTGTCATACCAATTAAGCTGTTCATGCAGGGACTTGTAGCTATTATGGCTTTATCTGGTAAGGCTGTGATAGAGAACAGCTTTCTCAGCAGCAATTGTGTTGCCATGTTAGATCTCTGCAGGAGCCTCTGCTTCTCCATCAGAGAGTGCAGAGTGTTGCACTTCAAGGTTGTTCTGACACTTGGAAGTAGCTTTGCTCTCTTGTAGCAACACTTACTCTACAAACAGGAGCATTTGTGAGAGAAATCATGTCCTGTCAGTACACATGTGAGCGTAAATCTGGTTCACAGGGCAACCGAGCAGAGTTGATTTTACTTGCTGCTTGTTACATTTGATAAAAGCTGGAAATTAGAGTCACTTAATGTTCTCAGTCCTCAATCTTGAGGTAGCTGCTGGTACTATTCTGAATGCATTTCAGTCCTAGACATTCTCTTCAAATTCAGACAATGGTTATTACATTTATTGGAGTCTATTCAGTGTATTGATTTGCCAAATGGAAGGCATTTTTTTTTTTTAATAGTGGCAACATAAGCTAGAAAAACTTCAAACCAGATTTTCGTAGTATGTTAAAGGGTTGGAATGGACCTTAAAGATCATCTAGTCCCAACCCCCTGCCCTGGGCAGGGACAACTCCCACCAGAGCAGGTTGCTCCAGGCTTTATCCAACCTGGCTGTGAACACTGCCAGGGTTGGGGCAGCCACAGCCCCTCTGGGCAACTTGTGCCAGTGTCTCTACACCCTCCCAGGGAAAAACTTCTTCCTGATATCTCAACTAAATTTCCCTCTTTCCATTTCTCCCCATTACTCCTTGTCCTGTCACTGCAGTTCCTAACACAGAATCTCTCTGCAGCTTTCCTGGAGCCCCTTCAGGTACTGGAAAGTTGCTATGAGGTCTCCACATAACCTTCTCTTCTCCAGGCAATATGGTAATAAAAACCCTGGAGCCTCTTCCCCATTGCACCACTTCCCCCTGCCCAGCCCTGGAGCCTGCAGACACCCTCTCTGGCCTTTCCTCCTTCTAAGGAGGCCTTTTCCAAAGGTATATTCCCAAAGATCAGCTCCTGAGCCCTGTTGTTGAGCTGTATTACACTCTGCAGGGAGGCTTCAGTGTAACAAGAGCAGAAATCTGCCCTAAGTCAGACCTGGGCCCACAGAGCAGCGGGTATTAGTTTCAGGCAGACATTTCCATCTGAAGAAAAGTGATCCTTTGGGTTCCTTTGCCCCTTTGCTTCCCTTTTCAGCTTCAGATCACAAATAAGTTTCCTCAAAGTTGTCTTACTAGTAAACCTGAAGGCTCTCTGAGGCTGTTGTGAAGATCCCTTGCTGTGGGCTCAGGCTGTCAAGTTTGCATAGTGTTTGGTAAAAAATTGAGAAATAGAGCTAAAAGTAAAGAAAGGGTGGTGAAATCCCCAAGGTCACTGCTGTGGTGACTGCCAGAACCTCTCTGCTATGTGTTTGTTGTCTCTTTTGCACAGAAAAATGCCAAGGTAGCAGTGCTGGGAGCCTCGGGGGGCATTGGGCAGCCTCTCTCCCTGCTCCTGAAGAACAGCCCTCTGGTGAGCAAGCTCAGCCTCTACGACATCGCACACACTCCAGGTGTGGCAGCTGATCTCAGCCACATCGAGACCAGAGCCAATGTCAAAGGTACTGCAAGTCCATGGGAATGATCTGTGTCCCAAGGGATCCTCTCAGGTGGCTCTGGCACACTGAGTCACCCACTGCTTGTGCAGAGAAATCTTCACACAGTGATCCTGAAGCCTAGTCTCAATTTAAGTAGCTTTTTTTCCCTGCAGCAGTGCATGATTAATTAAGGTTTAGCTGATTAGATTGATGTGTGTGGAGATGGTCTGTGGTTGCACTGTTGAAGGGGAATTTGTGGTATCTGGCAGGAAGCATTCAGGGAAATTTAGGAACAAAGCCTGAGTGTTAAACTTAGAAGTGTGACTAGGAATAGACTTAACACTCCCTGGGTGTCCACATGAATTCTGTTTCTTTTCTGAAGGGACAGCTGTCAAGTTGTGATGAAAGAAAGACTTACTCTGCTGATCTTCATCTTAGCTGAAGATCACCAAGAGGTGACATTTAATTTGAATGTGCAATTCTTTGGGGGCAGTGACTCTAGTACCAAGGTTTTTTGAGAGTAAATACACGTAGCAGGAGGAACTGAGTGTTTTCAAAACAGATGAGTGTGAGTTTCTGAAGGGACAGCTGTCAAGTTGTGATGAAAGAAAGACTTACTCTGCTGATCTTCATCTTAGCTGAAGATCACCAAGAGGTGACATTTAATTTGAATGTGCAATTCTTTGGGGGCAGTGACTCTAGTACCAAGGTTTTTTGAGAGTAAATACACGTAGCAGGAGGAACTGAGTGTTTTCAAAACAGATGAGTGTGAGTACCACTGTAAATACACGTAGCAGGAGGAACTGAGGGTTTTCAAAACAGATGAGTGAGATTCTCACCACTCTCAATCTGTAAGTTTTGAAACACAGATAAATCATCAAATGAGATCCATCCATAATTGTATTTCTTTGCTTTTCAGTGTACGTCTGAATTGAAGGATAATTAAAGGAAGGAATTGGATGCCTTTGGGTGTAATGTTGTACTTCAAAGTGTCAGATATTTAATAACTGTCAAAAACATAATGACTGAATATCTTCCATTTCAGGCTTCATGGGACCTGAGCAGTTGCCAGAATGTCTGAAGGGCTGTGATGTGGTGGTTATTCCAGCGGGAGTCCCTAGAAAACCAGGTATGTGCTCTTGGTTGGAAAGCCCCAGGGCTGAAGTGAATCTCTGCAGTTCTGCCACTCAAATAGGGCTGTGTCTGTTCCTCAGTCAGAGCTCTCTGGTGCTTTATGGTGGTGTTGGCTTGGGGTGTAAGTGGTCTGTTAATGGCCCTGACCCAGAGCTGCTGTGGTATCAGATAGCTCATTCAGCCTCTCTTAGCTTGTCCCTTGGGAATGGGGCAGAACTGATTTCTGGAGCTCTTCCATGGGGTTGAGGTGCAAAGACTTTTCATGCAAGTGATCCTGTATCTCCCTTAGTGTTTCTTGCCCCAGGGCAATGCTATAGGAACAAAAACTGCTTCATTATTTAATTTCTCAGCAGAATTGAAATAGTCCATTTGTTTTCCATCAGTTGTGTAGTAACCTCTTGGGGCATCTCTGAAAAGATGCTGTTAAGCCTTCCTAGAATGTCTCTGACCTCTTATATTTTTACTTTGTTTTCCAGTATCCTGTTGGGAATGTAACAAAATTCTAGACTTTAATGCCTAACTCTTCCTAATCCTTTACTTTTTAGGGTTAAAGTAGTTGCTGCAACAGAAATGAGAAGTGGCACTCACACAACCAGCAAGATTTTGTACAGAGTAGTTGGCATTTAAACTTAAGAGCTGCCTTAAGAGAGGGAAGAGAATTCATCCTGGGAGCAGTTGTGCTGCTCTGAACACCACTGGAGTACTAGAGTGGGTCTGTGTGGTCCCACTGTGCTTCAGGCAGCCTAGGTGAAGTGTTCTGACAATGGACAACTGGGCCAGTCACTCCTGAAAAGGGCAAGAGGAAGTACCTTTGGAGCCAGTTTTTTTGCAGCTGGAGAATTTGTTCTTGGTCTCTGAAACCAGAAGCTGCTCTCTGTGCAGAGCAGCACATTGGGTTTGACTGGGTTTGCTCTTGGAGGAGTAAACTGTGGGTAACAAGATATTGTACTGGCTGTGTTTTAGGTATGACCCGTGATGACCTGTTCAACACCAATGCCAGCATTGTTGCCTCTCTGACATCTGGCTGTGCAAAGCACTGTCCAGAAGCCATGATCTGTATTATTTCTAACCCAGTAAGTATTTTCTGCAGACCTTGAACCCCACCCCACAAATCCAGACTGGGAATACTAGAGCAATCCAAATTCCTATTAGTTTTACCCAGTATCTTTAAAGTCTGCAGTGTATTAGCAGAAAAGCACCATAAGCCTGGTCCTACTAACCCATTTTTCTTGGCTGTATTTAAGTCAGAGGAAACTTGGATATAAAAGTGCTTAATATCTCCCAAGTCTGTGTGGCTGGTTATAATACAGGCTGGTGTATTAGCTGGGATAAAAGTCTTAGCTCACTAAGGGAGAAGCCTTTGTAACGTGAATGAAGAAATTAAATTGTCTTAATGGCCATGTAAAATTAATGATTTTTATTCCAGCCTGACTGTAAATTGCTCTTCAGTTTAGACATTAAAGTAATTGGCTACAGTTGTTTCCAAGTTGGAAGTGTATTTTGGGTTGTTTATTGGCCTGTTTAAGTTCATGCATTGGCTTTGTTGCTATAGTGGTAGTAATCAGTGCTTGTCTCTTCATGCTTATAGGTAAATTCAACCATCCCAATAACTTCAGAAGTCTTCAAGAAGCATGGAGTGTATAATCCCAACAAAATCTTTGGTGTCACAACGCTGGACATCGTCAGAGCAAACACTTTTGTGGCTGAACTAAAGGCAGGTCATAATAACAGCTGCTGAGGGAGGGATCCTGCCAGCTTTGGCCACCAGGTCTAAAAAGAAATGCTTCTAAAATCACTGCAGAGAGCCAAAGGAGCTCAAATTTCTGTGGAGCTAGAAGCGAAGGCAATGATTCCCTGTCTCCATTCTCTAGAGGAGCCTGGAGATAAGGTTTCTTGCAAAACATGGTTCAAAAGACTTTGACCTTTCCTTTTCATAGCTGTGCCCTGTGAGTGAGCTACACGTTCGCCTTAATTCCACTGGCATTTCCAACCCTGCGGTGCAACCGGAGGAGAGGGTCGAGTTGTAGTCTGTGTTTGCAAGTCAGACTCTGTGTTGCATGTTACAGGATATTCTGCACAGTGTCAGGACCTGTAGCAGGTTACTGCTCTTAATAGCTCTGCTGGTGTTTGTGTTTGTGCTGCTATTTATCCAAACTTGCATTAATAATATCCTTAACTGTATAAAGTCATCAGAGTAACCTGGAGTTCAGCTCCATCGATCTGACTGTGCCCCTGCAGTACAGCTGCCTCTGAAACTTCTGCTGTGTGTATCACTGGGTTATAGATCACAGAATCATCTGGGTTAGAAAAGACTTCCAAGATCCTCGAGTCCAGCCTTTGACTGATCAGTGTGTCCAAACACCCAGGGCAGAGTGTGAACTGTGGTGTTTTCACTTGCTTTCCTTGTCCATGTGCTTCAGAAGCTGGAAAGTTTCATGTTTCCCCTAGGGCTTAGATCCAGCTCGAGTGACTGTGCCGGTTATTGGTGGACATGCTGGGAAGACTATCATCCCTCTGATCTCTCAGGTAGGTCATGGTGACTGCTGTGTGTGGCAGCACACTTGTCAGTGTGTTAGGGTTGATGTAAAATGCCTTTGTGATGACTGGTAATGTGCTAAGATAGAGCAGAGACAGTCCTCCGTGCTCTCCTGGCTGCTTTCCTTCTAGGAGGAGGTGCAGGATACTGGAAGGGCAACAAGGAAAGTCTAAACTCCACTGGTTAGTGTAAATAGTTCCAGTCTTTTACCTCTAAATGAGTTTGGGAGATTAGCACTGAGGTGTAGCAGTGATAGGCTGTCAGGAGAGGCTGCCTTCCTGCACCTAAGCCAAACTGAAATTCAGTTCTAAAGCACCTGCAGCCTTGGGCTATGGCCAAGGAGCAATCTGCAAGAAAGGAGGAGAAAGCTGTGCTCTAAGTGGGAAATAAAATATCCTTCACAGAAGGATATTCTTAGGGAGTAAGAGCAAGGCTTTGTAGCAGCTGAATGCTGAGAGGGTGCTTTGGTTAAACAGTCCATTGGGACAGACACAGCTGTGCTTAAGCTACTGGCAGAGCTGTATCTGAATGTTCAGTAACTTCCTAAATATTTCTGGGAGGCTGGATCCATCATAAGGCTCTTGACTTCCATAATGCCACAGTGACCCAAATATTTACAAGGTGACTTTGAAATTCCTAATACTTGAAAGGCAACCATCTAGTGCACAGGACTACACAGTAGTGTTGAGCCATGGCAAGCCCTGGTTTGGCTGTGAAGCTGAGGTTTGTTCTCAAGGGAACTGGGCATGGCTATGTTCCTGTTCCAGGCCATGCAGTGACCAGCAGCCCTGGTCACCCTTGCAGCTGGTCAGTGTTACACAAGCTGTGAGCTGGGGTAACTCATTTGCCTAGTTGAGACCTGTTGGTGACAACTGCAGTGGTACAAAAAGCATGGTGTGGGTGGCCTTGTGCTGAGCCTGGAGGGGTCCTGATGTTTGATAGTAACTTCCTTTTTTTCCCCTATCTAGTGCACACCAAAAGTGGACTTTCCTCAAGATCAGCTGGAAAAGCTTACAGCAAGAATTCAAGAAGCTGGCACTGAAGTTGTCCAAGCAAAAGCAGGAGCAGGTGGGTTCTTGACTACAGATTCCAAGCAATTCTTGTTGCCTAGCTGAATGGATGCAGTCATCTGCAGTGTTTAATCTTACTTGCAATTTATGAACTGCTGATTACAAATCAAGCTGTGACTGCCTGAGCTGTGCTGCTAGAAGCAGCTGAGTGTGTAAGACTAAACATTAACTGAACCCACATCATGTACAGTTTAAAAAAGAATATTTTCTGTCAAGTTAAGCTGTTTCTTCTATAAATCTAGTCAACTAGGTAGCATGTAGCTGGCCAAAAGCTGCTGCTTTGTCTAATGACTGTGAGCTTGAGGTCAATGACACTGCAGCTCTGTAAACATACCACTATGGAAACCTTTGATGCTAAAGAAAGTATCAAATTTCAACATGATCTGTTCTAAAAGAGGTTTAACTCTTACAGGATCTGCCACCCTGTCTATGGCCTATGCTGGTGCTCGATTTGTGTTCTCTCTGTTGGAAGCAATGAGTGGAAAACAGGGAGTTGTGGAATGTGCCTTTATTAAATCGGACGTGACGGAGAGCCCCTACTTCTCTACACCTCTGCAGCTGGGAGTATGTACTTTAAATGAGACTTACAAACAGCAGCTACTGATTGAGGCTTGTGGGATTTACTCAGTGATTTCAATGTTGTTGAATGCCTGGTATCACTAGAGTTAACAGCTGAGTCTTGAATATTTGGGGATGGTACTTAGGCACATAGCTCAGCTCAACAAGGATGCTGCTGCTTTTATCTGTTCTTAGACTGCAGATCACTGAGTACCCAGAGATTCAGGCTTGGCTTAAGAGGTCATGCTTGCCTCGAGTCAGGCCTGTTTATGCTGGGCTTTCATATGATTAACCAGAGTCAGCAATCCTGTCTCCTCGGCTTGATCTGCCACAAGCAAATCCCTCAGAAATTGAGGCACATGGGGAGCTGCAGTATGGATTAGTATTAATAGCTTGTTTTCAGGACCTCTGCTGAACTCTGACAGAAGTGTTCCTTTGGTCACCCTTACCCTGTGGGTGAAGTGGAAAACAAGGATGCTGCAGCCCTGTCTTGGACTGGGATGCAGTGGGTGGTGTGTGCTGTCCGAGGGGCAGGCTGGTGAGGGAATGGAAGCAGAGGGAAGGGTTTGGATGTAGACATCTCAGACACACAGGAGTGCCACTCTGGAGCAGTTTGAGGTTGCAAGCTAGCAGCAAATGAAGGACATACACCAGAGGAGAGAGATTCTCTTACCAGATGGTAGGTTTGGAGGTAGGAAGGAGCAGTTGGTATTAATCTTCTCTTGAAAGAGCTGGTGGGGTAGCTTCAGGTTTCACATTTGTGTGCAGTGAAAGAAGTCTGTGAGGGTTCTAGAAGTTGCCACAGATAGTAAGAGGCTTCTGAACCTTTCCAGGAAGCACAGGGTTGGCAGACTAGAGATGACAGAGGTCCTAGGCTGGGTCTCTGTCTTGACTGGATAAATCTTAGTCAGAGCTGTTTAAGCTCCTCTTTAGGTCATTCAA